TTTTGTAAACCTTAAAGTTTTGGTTGCACAAGCGAAGGGAAACTCGAATTGTTGTTCTTCTTCAAACTTATATGCTGTAGTACTCCAGAAACTTAGAAAGCTTTGAGAAAAACCTTAACAACTACCCAGATAAAGCAGTGAATTCTTAGGCTTCTCTGCGACTCCAAAATGTATACAAGCCACACAGTTTTGCGAGAAGTAGAAGACGCTGGAGTAAAGGCTACCTCTTAGAACTCTGCAGAATAACACTTTGTTAATATTATTAGAGTAAGGTGTAACTTTGGTAACAAATTTTCAGCGTTCAGCGCGTACAAAATATTCCTAGCTGCCCGCTGCTGTTTTCAGAAGCGGCCACGGATGGCTTCGCCACTGTAAAATATGTGGAATCACTATAAAAATGGCGGTTTTTTTTAGTTTTACAATCCTTTCTGATTTGTAACTATCGATACCGGAAAACTGTCGTCTCCAAACTGTGGTGTGCTGCAGAGCGAAAAAATTTTGCACAAAACGTGCCTTTTTTTCAAAAATTTGAAACTTCTTTTTTTTTAATGATCGTTTGAAATTCTATTTCTATTATATTCATGTAATTTTTTTAGCAAAATTAAAATAATAAATATGCATCTAAAAGCTCAAGGGAAATGGCAAATCTCTTGGACAAAAAATTACTAAATTCTATTAAGAATAAGGTAAATTACAAGTCTGGAAAGGTAGGCATTTTAAGCGGCAACTTAGCAAATTTTGCAACTTTAAGAAGGTGTGGCTTGGCGGGGAATTTACTTCTCCGGGATTTTTTTCGGCTTTCCGTACACCGGTCTAGACTTCATTAATTGGCAAAATTTAAAAAAATTTTGAGATATGAAGGGAAAAAAGTGCCAGTTGGCATGGAATCGCTTATATATATGAGTATGAGAATAAATTTTAAAGAAGTGTGTAAATGAACGGAAAAATAATTTCTTAGCTGCAACAAATGAACCAGTAATCACATTGTTGGCAAGATTCCAGCAGCTTTACACCTAACACTTTTCTTCTAAGTACCGATAAAATGAAATTTACATCTGACAGATTTGCCCACTCTCTTTTTTCTCTCATTGGACCGAAATAATAGCCAATTGAAATAGCTGTGTACAGATTTAAAATTTAAATTTATGTTTTCCCCTTTGTCTGTCGGACGATTATGATGCAGAATCCAATTTCAGTTATTAGCAGTGTAGACGATGACGATAGAATATATAGCTCGTTCAGTGCTGTGATGTTACCCAGTTAAAAACTGTTTCCAGCTACTGCTTTACCGAGAAGGTTTATTGCTCTGGCAGTTTTAGGACATTGTTTCAATTTTTTCGATTGTAACAACAGATAAAATTCAATTTATTTTTCAACAACTGAATACACTGAATACTTAGCTAATTTAAAAGAATTAAAAGTATTTTCGCCGTTAAACGATGTAGTTTTTTGTTCACGAAATAATAAACAACTTTTTTCTCCTCTAAAAGCGCACACCGATTATATACGGATGATTTTTTAATCTTCATTTTTTTTCTGTGTCGTATTCTTTATGGTTTAAAAAATTCTATGCTTATTTTTACGGGGCAACTATTGTTATTATTTTCTTGTTTGTTTTATTTACGGTAACTACTTTGTTATTTTAATTCATTTGAACAGAACACTTAATGTACATGGAACTAAGAGGCATACCGATTCCTCACTCATCATATGATACCAACCACCGTATTTAAGCACTGATTTTTGTTGAAAAGTTATATTTAAGTTAAGTTTTTTCAATTAGTACTTGTAGCAAAATTTTGTACTGTTTATTCTTAGTAATTATTTACTAATTTACTGGAAACTTTGCTGAGTGTTAAGCCAGTTTGCTCCTTGTGAAATTGAAAACCCGTGATGTAAAAAATTATAATTTTCTTTCTATAATTTTTTCACGCTGATGATGTGTTTTTATACGTTTGATTCTAAATACCTATGAATGCTACGCGTTTATGACCACATTCAAATGCAGCTTTTTTTTTGTTCCTTGCAATCATTTCCTTTTTTCAGATACGAAGGAGAGAAAATTGCTTTAGTGGTGCCAAAATAGTCCCAAAATTTTTTTCTTGCATGGATGAAAAGGTGAAAAAAGAGGTTGAAACGGAAAGAGTGAAACATATCGAGAGTTGCTTTTCATCTTTTGAAATCACCCCTGGATTAATAAAGATTCGTAAGGTTTTGTAGCTCATTTGTTTTTTCATTGTTTTTGGTTAATTAGAACTGCAGTATTTTTGCGTTTAATTTTTTAGCAAGGCTTATTAATTAAATCAATTAAATGTTAACTGTTAAAAATTTGTTTTTTAGTTTGATCAGTGATTCGGAACAGTAATAAAGCCCTGAGTACACAAAATTATCATTTACTATTTGCTGCTTATTGTTTCTTATTTATTATTCTTATTTCTTATTTACTATTTGTTACTTATTATTTATAACTATTAATTTTTTTATTTTTTATTTTGAGCTTAAGGATCAGAAGGTTCTCCTCTGTGTGGACAGTATTTCTCGAATTTTGAGGGGAACTGGCTTTAGATCAGAAAGTAGTTACCTTACGTATAGCTTTTAAGAAACTGTAGTTTGCTCATTAGAAAGCAGTATAAATGTGATTTTGAAGCTTTATTGGTTTTACTGCTGAGGTTAAATTAACCAGGAAGACTTTCTAAATTTTCAAAAAGATTTTGTGAAAATGAATTACCATGTGAATGATGGAAAATTCAGTTGAAGTAAAGTTTTTTCGTAGTTCCTGTTTTTTAGTTTCTCTGTAACATGCAAACTGGATCGTTTTGCAGAATCAGTACTGCGACTTTTTAGCTTCTCGGTAACTTATCTCTTTATTTATAATTTTGCTTACCTTTTGTTGCATTCTATTTTTTTGTAAAGTAGTACTTAGCTTAAAACAGCTGTATGATGTTAGCAAATCGCATTAATTTTTATTTTAAAACAGTTCTCTGACAGAACGTTGTCGAAATGTTGACCCATATATGGTTGGCTTGCCTTAAAAGTGTATTAGTGTTTTTGTTACTCTTCAAATTTTTTATTAGAGAAGTGATGATTCCGATCTTGCAAGACAGTATAGCTTATTTCTTTGATGGGATCATTTTTTTGTGCCATACCGGTTTCAAATGGGGAATTTGTAATGATTAACTGATGAGGAATACACTTTCAACATTCTTAAACTTCCATTGCCAGTTTCTAGGACCATCATTTTCAAATATTCTTAGGTATCTAGATTTGCTTGCTTTTTTGCTCAATTACCAGTTTTGTTTTTCTTAAATAGTATTTTTGACTCAATTTTTTATTAGTCATTTTATGTGAACCATGATTTTGTGTGGGATGAAGAGCATACGTTAGGTTTGGCCGAAAAGAACGAATTTCGTATTTGTTAAAGGTTATACTCAAAGGTTTTTAACGGTTAAGATACGTGCAAAGAGAATAAAGGCGGAATTGTGAGAGCTAAAATGTTCTTCAAGGATTGTTCATTAAATAAAATCTTGTTATAGGAGGAGATCATTGTGTTGATTTTTATTTTGAGGACTTCTTTTACGTGTAAAATAACGGATTTTGGATTTTTCCACGTCTTTGAGTTACCAATTTTTTCAATTTTAGTTTGCGCAGCCGCGGCGGGAGCTTCTCTGGGGGTTGGCATTCGTTCTGCTCGAAAATATACGAAGGAGTCAAAAGTTGCTGGATACAGTCAAGCTAGATTAGTTTGTTTTCACTTGTTCAAGAGGAAACGAGCTAGTCTTATTATCTGTTTCTCAAGAGTAAAAGTTGGCCTCTTTGTTTTTTCAGCGTATTGTATTGTTTTACTGCTTATATTTTTAGAACAGTGGTGTTAATTTCGCTTCTCGCGCGTTAGCATTATCCACAGTAATTACCGTGTCTGGATACACGTTACTCGTTATTGGTATTTCATCGCTGTTAAATGTCAATACTCCTCGCCAGTTTGGCGATAAAATGAAAGAACTTTTTGGTGACAAGTTTCGTTTACAGAAGAAAGAGTCTGTTTCATCTTTCAGAGAAGTTTTACGGTAAGTCTTTTTCCTCAAGTCTTGTTACATACATGTTGAATTGCATCCAATACACCACCTTTGTTTTGGATTATTGTGTACGAGTAAAATCAAAATGACTTTTGCTGCATTGTGTTTTAAATTTATTGAATTCTATAATAGAATTAATTTTTTTTTACAGGAAAGCCGAAAAGTAAAGTGTGCCGGTTTGTGAGATGATAGTGTTAATTCTCTTCTTCATTCTTATTTTTGTTCTCATCCTCTTTTATTGCCATTGTCGTCAGCGTCTGCTGCCTATAGGTCGTCGAGCACTTCTAGTAATTTTTCAACTTCTGCATTTTAAATTTATTTAAAGTGCATGAAGTGTTTGAACAATAATTTTAAAACTTACAAGTCTTTCAAATATGGAAAGAACATTACATCTTCATCAATTATTAAGTTTGCTTGCCCTTATTAGATGGCAAAAATTGGTTTTATAAATAACGGGAGATTGTATGCGGAAAAATACTGTTCTGTGAAAAATCATAAGATTCTACTGAAACCTCACTTCTTACTACAGAGTAGAAAGTTCGGAAGGCATTTTAAGATACTTTTAATTTTTTTAGGTGTAAGAAGTTTGAGGCTAGCAAAGACGTTTTTTTTAAAGTTGGGTGGTAGTCACCTCAGATTGGTTGCTACAAAAAAATTCTGAACATTTTTCAGGAATAAGAAATCTTTTCAGCTTTTTGTGGATAAAGTCTAGTAGCTCTTTTTCCTGATATTCTCCAGGAGCCGCTCATACAATTAAACCTCATGGCGTTTTTTAAAACGATTTTTTACCGACTTTTTAGATGAAAAACTTTTGGAAGTCCTGACTTCATCGATTTTGTTATTTGAGAAACATCACTGTGCTTTTCATGACTTAGGGTTGGGAAATTTAAAGTAGTTAGCTTTGGACTTTAGAACTCATCTCATTTCTTTCTGGAAAAAGTTTCATTTAAGAGAGAGGTATAGAGAGTCGTTAGAAAAAACACGCTTCATGCTCCCTTTTTTTTAACAGTATTGTAATGCGTGTTTTCTTCTGTTGAGGTTCCTGCAGAAGCTAAGCTGGATTATTTAACTTTTTAGATTTTTGCTCATCCAGATGATGAAACAATGTTTTTTGCACCCACCCTTAATGGTCTGCGGCAGAGCGATACAAGTGTTTACTTCCTTTGCATATCGACGGGTAACCAAAATGGGTTCGGAAAGTTACGCAAAACTGAATTGGCACAAGCTATACAAATTCACGGCTTTTCTGTGGACAATCTCACTATTCTTGACTACGACTCTTTCAAGGACGGGTTTTTTGTATGGTGCAAGGAAGAATTAGCGAAAGCTGCCTTGAAATATATAGAAGTTGGTTATTTCTTGCAAAATGCTCTTTGCTTTTGAGCTTTTACTCATTTTTTCTTTTGAGATTTGATTAAGGCAGGTATTGGTTTGAAAAGACTGCCCTTTTTTTCCTATACAATTGAAAGATAAATTTGTCTATGTAAAAAGGGGCTTTCCATTTTCAATTTAGTTCTAGTTCTAGATTCTAGATTTTTTTTTTGTGCTTCGAATTTTACTACGAGGATTAGAAACAAAAACTGTTGTTTTTAGATGCTCGAGATAGATGTAGTAATAACTTTTGACGAGGATGGAGTCAGCTTGCATCCAAATCATGCATCATGTTTTCGGGCCCTACAGTATCTGTATTCTAATGGTCTACTACCAGCTGGCGTGCAGGTTTGACACTGCTCATATAAAGCCTCCAAAAAACTTTCCTTACTAAAATTTCTGTAATTCTCAAGACCCGAATTTTACCACAACAATTAATTACTCCTTCATTTTAGTTGTACGATATCTTTTTAAATCCCAATGAAATTTCGCAGGTTTTTGTTCTGGAAAGCGTGCCTATATGGAGAAAATATTTTTTGCCACTAGATGCAGTGGTAAGTGCCTTCCATTCAACGTTCCTTTATGTGTCCCCACCTTCAGCATACTTTGTCGCCTGGCGTGCTATGTTTGCTCATTCGTCTCAACTAGTGTGGTTTCGCTACCTCTACATGATATTCAGCCGTTACATTCATATTAATACTTTGAAACGTATCCACTTGCAACCGCGATATTATGTCCGTAAAAAGTTGAAATAGTACTATATGAAGAACTATATTCTTTGAAGAAATTTTTTGTTTGCGCAGTATGTATTCTATGATTATTTTCCTACCTGTGTTGGTTTAGTTATAGACCTGAGGAACTCTCCAGTTAGGTCTTTAGGTGGTTAAAAACTCGCCTTATTAGAAATTGTCAGCACCTTAGGGATTGTTGTATTTTTATTCCACAGATAACAGAGAGTAAAGAAAAAAAAGGCTTGGGAAGTGCGCTGGTATGTTTTTGGGCTGCTTAAAAATTAGCTGTACTTTTGTTTTTGTTCTGCTATTCCGTCGAGCAAAACCACTTACAGCTTGAAACTTGACTAACTAGCCGATTTTCTTAATAGCAGGAGTGGTCTGCTCTAAAATTTTGCTCGCTTTTACCATGTTAAAAAAGTACGGTTTAAAGCGGGACGGTTTTTGTTAAAGCTGTGTTAATCGCATGCGTTGCAAAATTTTTAATGCCGCCCAAGGTTGTGAATGCCTTAGTTACGGAGAATGTGTATTACTAAATATTATTCCCTTGTAACTTTTGTTAGGTTTTCTCTTCTTCATATTTAAAACTTGGAAGAATAAATGATTTATTGTAATATCATGTTCGTTTTACCGGGCTTCCTACTTATAAATCCAATTCACTTTTGCACCTTGGCGGCTTGCAGAGAACAGCATTTTAGAAGTCAACTGAGGGAAAGCAGGAATGAAATTAACCAGAGGTGGTAACGGGCCGCAGCTGTTTCCTTACAAGATTATGACGGCTATAGTGCTATTCTTCAATTTTTATCAAAGTCCTTAACTAATAGCGTTCTATCTGAAGAGAAAGCTAAAGGTTTATGAATCTGACAGTGATAACCCGCTGTCCAGATGAAGTATACAATCGAAACCACATACGTATTAGATCGCAAATGTGATGAATCTTCGAGTACCTGCCTGTATAAGTGAGGTGGCGCGAAAGTGGTTAGTCGAGCAAATGTGGATTTGAAAATGAATTTTTTAGCGCATTGGAATCCTGCCAATAAGCTTGTCCTGGACTGAAGTCGGTTATTGGCGGGCAATTTATGATTTTGATTTTGCAGAGAGCAGGTACCTTAACAGTTCCACAATGGAGGGCTTGTCGAATGTCCAGTCCGTTGACAGGTTATTTGGAAGGTTGATTTTGCTGTCGTTGTGGAGTTTCACTAGATCCATCATGAATTACCATTGTTTTGCTGTTTTTTGTTCAAATCTGGTTT